CGGGTTCGGATCCTATATAGGGATGGCCGGTTTGCTCACTGGCTGAGCGTGGTGCTGACAACACCGAGCCAAGGGTTGAGATCCCCTTACCGGTCATCTTTAAAAAAAAAAAAAAAGTTGGTTCTGGCAGTTCTTGCCAGCTTATTTGTTACTTTTGTGGAGTTAAAGATTTTTGGAGTTCCCTACTCTGCCATTTTTGTTGATGTCACGCTCATTCTTCTTTTCTTTTTTTAACTGCATAGAATTTCAAATTCTAACAGATAGAGGAACATAATTTATTTGACCAGTCCTCCATTGATGATGATTTTTTTCCCACTTTTTACTAATACACTATTTTTCAGTGAATAACTTTGCACATTATTTTGCATGTGTGCAATTAAGTCTATAGGAACAATCCAAGAAGTGGTATTACTGTAAGAGTATATGCATTTTGTAATTTTTATAGCTATTGCTAAAGTGCTATATCACTTTACATTCCCATCATGAGGGTTCCTGTATCCCCACAGTCTTGTCAACAGAATGCATTATAAAATTTCAGTGCATTTATCAATTTAATAGGTGAAAATAGTATTTCACTGTGGCTTATTAGGCATAGGTGTTGCCCAGCAATCCTACCATTTTCCTTAATTTTCTTATGTTCCTAAGTATTTTATAATTTCTCCTTTATCTTCAAACTTCCAACAACTTTTCCTTCATATTCACATTCACCTTATGTTTTATTTCATTTCAGCCAAAGACCCCCAGGAACACACCTGTAGTTGAACAATGTTGGGTTTATTGACTCATTGCAACAAGGGTGAAAGCACACAATGGAGGACCATGAGGAGGATTTATTATAGGATTTGGGTTTTGCTTGAGTAGGGTGAAATAAAGGTGGGAGGATCAAGAAGTGGGGCTTTTTCCCGGATTAGATGTTGTCAAGAAGTTGTGGTAATTCTATTATTGGATATCTTACTACACCTTATCTAAAAGATAAGTGGAATAAAGTGAAGCTAAAGCTGTGACTGGGAAAGAAGTGGCAGTCACTCATATCAGGCAGCACTGGGGATATTTAGTCATTTTTGTGGTTTGAACCATGTGCATATTTCTGTCTGTGTTTAGACATGATTACACAGTGGCCTTGTTTCTGTCTTGCTCTATCATGATCACAGAGTGGCCGTGTTGAATATTGGTGTTCTGTGATTTTTTTTTGTTGTTGTTCAATGGAACACAGCTGTGCAAAGTTTTGCAGGACAAGGATCAAAACCTGTTCTTTCGGGCCGGCCCGTGGCTCACTCGGGAGAGTGTGGTGCTGATAACACCAAGGCCCGGGTTCGGATCCGATATAGGGATGGCCGGTTCGCTCACTGGCTGAGCGTGGTGCTGACAACACCAAGTCAAGGGTTAAGATCCCCTTACCGGTCATCTTTAAAAAAAAACAAAAACAAAAAAACCTGTCCTTTACTGACTATCTTATTAGGTAACTTGTCCTTTAGTATGTAATGTACATTTGAAAATATACTCAATATCTGACTTTTTGTGGAACTGGTTTCAAATATTTTCCCTTTCCTCAACTTCACATTATGACTTGCAAACATATGAAAACAGGAAAAGCATCACTGAGCAGTGTTATACCCTCCATTTAGATGCAAATATTGTTAACATTTTGCTCTCTGTATTTATGTCTTTTTTGAAGCATTTGAAAGCAAGTTGCAGACATTATGACACTTAACTCCTAAATATTCAGCACAAATATTCTAATGATAAAGACATTCTCCAACGTAATCATGGATATTAATTATCCATAAATGAATATTTATAAATGTATCCATAAATAATTTTTCCATAACCTCAACTCTAACAGACACTTCTTATCCAATCTTCCCTGATTGTTCTACAGTGTCTTTTACAGCTGTGTTTTTGGGAACCAAGGATTTGCAATACTAAACAGCTTTTTATCAGTAACTTCAATCCCTTTTTTTAAAAAAAAAATTTATTTAAAAATTTTATTATTAGCATATTCATTTTTACAAATCGTGATATTTCTTTACGCTCTTTGGCCAACCTATCATTTTCCAACCCCCCTCCCTACCCCCATCTCTAGTGTCCTTAGGTTTGCTCTCTCCTTCTGAAAGCTCAACGTATTGTTGTGGTCTTTTCTTTCTTTCCTTCATTACTTCCTTCTTCCTTCCCTCCTTCCCTCCCTCCCTCCCTAGCATCCAGTTATGAGAGAGAACATGCGGTATTTCCCAATCCCTTATTTGAAGGAACAAGATTTTCTCACGCAGTTCGCTTTTCCGCATATCGGAGTAGGGTATGCTATTCCCAAGTAGGCACAGGAGTTTGAGGTTGGAAGGTAAGGTTCATTCTGAGCCCTGGTCAAGATTAGCTTCCAGGCTAACAAATTACCACTTATCTTTAGAATGTAGACAAAGGGAAGGGCCACAAATTACCGCCAGAGGGCGCAAGGCGCGCGGGCGGGACCCCGGTGGTACTCGTGGACGAGGCGCGCAGGGCCCGGAGGCCGGAGCGCGCGCCTGGCCGCCCCCTCCCCGCGGCGGGGCGCGCG